TGAACAACGCCTCACTTGTCAATATTTGACAAATAAAGTCATTTTTATTTTTCGATCGAGAATGCCATGTAAATCGCTTCATTTTTGATCAAGTAACACGAAAAAAAAAGGACGATTTTGAAGCGAACGACCTTAAAGTCACTTCAAGCTTAAGCACTAATTTTTTAAGTTTACTTGATTTTTTCAAATAGAAGTCGGCTTCTTACGAATAATTTGATACTACACACTCTTATTTTATTTTCACTATTTTCCGAATAATTTTAAGAAACGATCATACGTATAGTCGAAATCACGAAAGATGACGATTACATCATCATTTTAGTCTGCAGTAAAGACATAGGACAGCGATTTGTGAATATATTTAATGAAGTTTCTGATATGTTAGACAGAGACAAACAGAATTTTAATGTCTAAACAAACTGTATTGCTAATTTGCACGTATCCGACAAAGATAGACGATGTTTTCATGTTGCATGGTCGATCATATTTGAAAGATAGGTTATGTTAAAGCAGGTTATGTTGTTTTCGAGTAATACTTTGATCTTTGGTGTTCCTGTCTTAAGGTATTCTACTCATAACTGTTTTTGTCAAAACAAAAACTCCCCACTAAAATTATTATTAAGGTATCACTCAAAAACACGAAATAAAATGACAATAAAAATAATCAGTGAAATAACCTAACTTCGCAAAATCATAATATAAATTTGTTGTCATTATGTGATTTTATCATCGACGTACGTCCATTGATTACTTCAGTACAATTTATGGTATGACGTAACAGTCATCTTTCGTGATTTTGACTATATCTGCATTACGTATACCTATGCGCCAAGTCGTATTATTCTAGTTATCCATGACAAACAACAATTGAAGGTGTTGCTAGGGTTACTTCAACAAATACTGTCAGTTTTAAAAATTTGTTTGTTACGTAGATAATTTAGAATGGAAAACTATACTAGAAACGAGAAAAAAGATATGCTGTTGATTTACGGGGAATCAAGAAAAAATGCAACTGAGGTAGCTCGAATTTATTCTCAGAGATTCCCCAATCGTCGCCAATCCACTCGGTATTATTTACCAAAACTGAAACAGAAAATGAGAAATCGACAAGAAGAAAATGTCAATAACTTTATCGCCAGTGCTTCGTTATGAAAAAAAATTATATATTTTTACACTGACGGTTAATACTCCCTATCCCAGGAGAAGGTTTGTTGCAGAGCTCATATGTGCCCGCTGTAACAAACTGTATGTGCCGCCACTGTGCGGACGAACCGCTCCGATTTGTTTTTAAGTCTTTATCTTTTCATAGCCTCTGCGGCAAAGCAACGTTCAGCTCTTCACTTTGACACTTGTTCCTTTCATGTCGTCCCCGTCGGCTTGACGTGTTATTTCGGAAAATATTTTCGCCTATTTCCAGTCGACAGGCAGTTCGGTCTTTCCCGTATTGACTTTTGATGGCTGCTTGTTTATTCTTGGCGGTCGAGTGGTGGCAAATCTGGTCGGCGAACGGACCAGTTTGGCTCGTAAGTCATCAGCCCTATACACATGCTATTTGGGTCTTTCAAAAATATTAGTTTAGGGTTGCAAATTCGTCGTCTGTCATTCCAATTGAATGAAACTTGGCAGATATAGGTTATTTGGAGTTCTGAATGTGATAATACCACTAAAATACGAACTTTAAAGAACACAAGTGTCAACTAGAAGCTCCTTCATGTTCGGCTTAGGGAATAGACCGTATCGTGATGGTGTGAACGCTACCCCCTATCTGCTACAGCAGGCTGTCGAAACGTGCGACGCAGTCTCCCGATGGACAAGCGTCGTCGTCGGTGGTCTTACGCCACAGACAGCAATCGCACTACTACTATGGGCTGCGTGGACTGTGCAAGCCCTTTAACTCAAAGAGTTCAAATCGGAACATGTGAAGAAGGAACCTCAACCACCATCCCAATCCCATTCGTCCTACGCGTATAAAAGAATTCGTGTGTGGTTAACATCCATTAACAAGCAAAGCACATTTTTTCGCATACGACGGTCCGAGCACCGCTTTTCTCCGAAAGCGCAATGGCACGCAACAGCACCACCTCTCTCGCTCGCTCCCGTTAGTACCGTATAGCGGTGTCTCTGTCTCGCGCATGTGGTGCATTTTCTGTCTTTGTCGTCCGGCTGTGAAGGACGTGAACGGTGGTGCGCAGGTGAATTATTGCGAATAAGCCTCGACAAGTCGCCTGTAACGTATGTCTTTCCAGGGCGACACAGTGGTGGGACGGAGAATTTTCGATACGGAAGTGGGAGTGCTGTTGATTGACGACTTCGTCAAGAAGATTCCCAACCCAACACGTTCACATACAATAAGGACCGCAGAATTCCCTTAGGAGTAATAAAAAATGACGTCAAGTAGGTTGACTCTGCATTTCCTTCATACGTTTATAAAGCACAAGTTATATGCTCGCAACACAGCGGCAGTAATCCCAGGACACTTATCACCACTGAAATATGTCTAATAGGTGCCAAGGATTAGCGGACAAACAGACCATCAGACGTAAATGAATGACGTGGTTTTTGGTAATGTACATCAAAAAAAAACTCTTTTTCAAAATTTTCCGCGATCACAATACGTTTTCGCGAGTCATGTAACATCTATTCAGTAGATTTTTATTTCTGGAATCTGCAAATAACTCAAACATTTAATAATCTAGCTTCCCAAAGAATGTGATGCCAAAATAAAGATCTTAAAAGGGATAAACCATAAAAATATCAAGGGTGATCTATTGGAAGTTTTTTTAGAAAAAGTACATTTTGCATCAACATTTAAACACCACAGATGATGCAAAAAACGTATAAGAGGCGAGAAACTGTAGGATATGAGGCTTTTTTAAATGAATGGAACTTATTTCGTTTAATCAATTATGCCCTGTGGTGAATATCACATGATTTATATTTATATAATGGTCCAGTTAAGTAATCAAGAAATGACAGATATGCACTTCGTTTACGGAATGGCTCTGGGTAACGTTCATATTGAGCCTCAGCAACTTGCAAAACATGCAAAATTCAAAAGCCGTGACGGATCCATGTTGATATGAAAATTTAGTCTTCAAATTGACCAAGGATTCTATGGTTAAAGTTTGTCTACATACTTTATTAACCCTCTGTAGATGTTACGTCTATGGCTAAAAGCTAATTGGACTCACCCTTTACTTGCGGGTTTAACAATCTTCTACGTAACATTAGATCGTCATTACAAATTATGGGGAATTATGCAAAAATAATATCTGATAACTTTTTCAACTACTTACATTAGCAACACGAGTAAAATGAACCAGCCTTAAAAATACTGTTGCTCATTTCTTACGTGAATTTTTCTATCACCATTAGAATAATAATCCATAAGCAAACAGAAAAACCAAATACTTACCTGAATGCACGTTTTGTGAGAACACATAGGTAAACCCACTGCACCCAAATTTAGAAATTGTCACACATATTTGTTTTGCGATTTAAAATATCATATAACAAATCTATCACATTAGAGCCATTTTGACTTATCTTAGGCCCGTATCGTCAGTCGTCCCTACAATTGTAGGGCGCGTTTATGGCCTCCTTGATTGTCATACTCCTTTCTCTCCTTCAAAAATTTCTAGATTACACTTGTCCCGTGTCAGCGTCAGCGCTCTCCTATTGTAAAGATATGTTTTCTTTTTAAATTGTAGGAAATTTCAGGCTGATAAAACATGATATAACTCAAAAGCAAGCACAATTTGATGCAAATAGATGTTTGTGACATAACCTCAAAATAGAGCGCTGACACGGAGAAGTAGAAAACTATGACAATCAAGGAGGCCATAAACGCGCCCTACAATTATTGTAGGGACGACAGACGATACGGGCCTAAAGGAACTTATACCATATCAGTACCCGCGAATTCATCATCGAATATTCTAGCAAGCCGTCACTCATTCCAATGCCTACAGATATGCTAATCATTTCTTCTTCCCGGTGAAACAATAAAATTTATTGATTCCAGGAAGTATATTTCTGGTTTTTTGCCGCGACAACTTTTTCACCTGTTCCGTCGGGGACCCATAAGAATTCCTCAAATATTCGTGCTAGGCATTTACCGGCCGTCTGGATTTGAATCAGCATTGCCAGACGTACGATAATTTCAAGTACTGTACGATGTACAATAGTATAGTGTAGGATAAAAGCTGAATGTACGAATGAGCTTTTTTACTCACAGATGTTGAATCAATCTAATGTATAATGAGTTGTCTAGCATTATCTCGGCAAACATCAACGGGAAAACTTGCCGTCAATCAGTTCTCACGTTCTATGTATCGACATGACGCGCATATTTTTATTTACCCATGTGCATTAGATGAAACGAATGCGACGTCTCCCGTTTATATGACTTCTGAAACTTAAAAATCAAAAGATCGTTTTCAGTTATTTTCGATATTTACCCGGTTTCAATTCAATAACGATAATATGCCGGATTGCGAATCAAATTGCTCGGGAAGACACAGAAGATGCGATACCCTCGAAAACAGAAAACAAAAAAAAGGAGCGGAATCTTTGAAGAAAGCCAAAGCCAAACATAGACAGCAAGCTTATAGAAAAGAGTATGAAACAAGACGGAAATTTCCTTCATCATGAATCCTGAGAGAACCTAAGGATAATGTACGATAATTTTAACGTGTTTGTACGATGATTCCCTGCGACGAATCTGGCAACGCTGATTTGAATTGATATTCCTGTTCAGTATCAGTTTTATTCATCTAGGAAGCTAGAAATTTTATTCGCGAGGGTTTCCGGGGTACCTAGATTAGTTTATTGCGATAAATCATTTAAATAACAATTCAGTTAAGAATTTAACGGTTTGGTTTTGGTGTTTTCCATTTAGGGACGCGATTTCTTAGGCTTTGTGAGGTTAGACTTTTCACAATGCTTTCACGGGCTCTTTTGTCGTTGCTGATTGAAATTAATTTTAGAATATGTTACAGAAATGGTAATTAATTATTTATTGGTTATTTTGGTGCCGTTTATTAGTTTGTGTTTTTGAGACTTTATCCTCAGTGCCGTGGACAAAACTATCAATGTGCGTGAGTGGAAATTTATATACTATTTAATGGTAAGTGGTGCATGCTTTTTTGAATTGTAGGAAAAGGAGCACGGTTTTAATACTATTATATTTCTCGCATCCCTGAAGTTAGCTGGAAAATCATGAAATTACAGCAAAAATCGCTTATATTGAAAAATCGTATTTTCAGCACCTGGGGGCTATTTTATGTCACTTATTATCAAATATGGCTTTCAAACAACTTACTTTAGATAGGAGCCCGAAATTCGATATTATCAGTGGTGGAGTAAACGGTAAAACGGGAACAGGTCCTTCTGTGCTATTTTAATACGCAAAATACCAAAAATGATTTCGCTTAATTGTACTACTGCTGTAACTACCACAGGGTGATTCCGATAAGCGACACGAACGCATAAAACATATAAAACTAAAAAAATCGCAGAACCCAAACAAAGAATTGTGCCACCAACAAACTCGTATATGTTGTAGAGACCTCGTAGGAGTACATTATTTGCGAAAAATCAGGGGGCTACAGGGTGATTCTATGCGCATTCTGTTTGATAATAATGATAACCTCGGCACTTTGTGCGTGCAGATGAAAAATAATCAGCAAAATGTTCGCTTGCGGGCCATCTCAAACGCCACTTTTAACGTTTATTGCAAGGAGAGCGTAATCCGAATCGTAAAACACACCGGACCGAACCATAACTTTATATTGGGAACATGTACAAAATACAACGTACAAATTCTTCTCGGGTGCTATAAAAATCTGACGCACGATTCATTTGGTTCGTACACGAACGGAATGCGTTTTGACGTTATGGTAGCTGATGGTTTTGCTCTATTTACCGCGAGGTTAACCATCGGGTTAATCGCATATTTTATTTGAGGTTTTATGGGAGTAGAAGAATTTGTCATCAGAGTATGCTGGGTTTTATAAGGCATTCTTTACAGAAACAAAAAGAATCACGATTTTTATCAACCCCAAGTACAAATGAGAGGATAGAAAATTATGATTTATTGAAAATTTGTAAATAGACTGCATCAGAATCCTGAAAGAGGGATTTTTTGAGTATATGTTCTCCCCAACAAAAAACACTATTAAAGCTATTAGAATTTCAAGTGGCAACTGTCCTTTCCAATCTCAACATGTCGTTTATGATTCCTCTAGCTTCTGAGGATGATAACATGATAAGAGGTCCCAGTAGTAGACATAATAGTGAGAGGCACAACATCAGATAGTTTTCCAGTATAGATGGTGATGCAATGACAATCAGAGGAAAAAATACTGTTAATATCAGTGTTACCATCAGTATCATCAGTAAAGCATCGTCGTCATTGACCTACAACAAATTCAAAACAATGTATTGTGAAAAAGAAATTTTCCTTGAATCGTCTAGATTTTGATTAAATTTTTACACAATGTTACTAGTATGCCAAGGATGAAAAAGTTTTGTAGATATTACAGCGAAAAACAAAAAATAAAAATCGCTCAAACGTTGGCTTTTGATGTTCAGAGGTTCCTGAACATTTTCGGAAAATTTTTTGTATGGATTGAAACTTAGGTTGTATATGTAACGTATCTAGTATTAGTTAAAAATGTTCTAAGATTAAGAAGCTTCTGATCCCGGTAACAACAGGCAAATTAAATGATAAATGTCCGATGTATAACGTGCTCAGAATCTGAAATAACTTGGTAACTGGCCTGCGGTGGTGTCGTCACTGACACACCGCTACAACACAAATATTAATATATTTTAGCAATATTTGGAGCACGTACCACCTTAACGTTCTGCGATGTGTTTGTAAATGATGACTTAACTGTTTTTATGTCTACACATATATTTTGTGATTGCATCTACGTACCTCTCCTACAATATATCTTGTAACGCGAGGTCTAGCTATTACTTCATCTCTTGTATTTTGTACTTGTCCACTTGTATTTCTGAGCTCTTGTTTAGACATTGAATGATCTGAGTGGATTCCAACTGGTAAGCATTCTATTTTGCAAAGTTTATCTTCATCTTTTATGCTTTGGGCTCTTCGCACTTCATATTCAGATACGGATTTTGCAAATGAAGAACCCACTTGAAAATTGCTGTCCCGTTTTCTGCAACATTTTTGCGTTTTTGTTTCATTTTCTGCGAGTTGATTGATTCTGGTATTTTCTTTGATTCTGGATTTGGAGCAGTGTGGCGTTACTGAGAATTTTTGCATTTTGGAATGTATCACTTCAAATTTTGTGTATCTAATGCGATTGAATGTGCATGGTGATTTATGAAAGTGGGATGAATGTCATGTTAATTCCTAACCATGATAAAATTGACAGTGAGATATTGAGAATTATGGGTACATTATACATCATTTAATTTTCCCGTTGTTACCGTCTTCTTAATGATAGAACGTCTTTGACTGATACTAACCTCCATATACAGGGTGTCCGCAAAGTTGGGGTTTTCCTTTTCAGAAACAACTACCCTTGAAACAACAAAGGTAATGTGTAGTGAAACGAGGGCGACCAAGTAAAAAAAATAAAGGAAAAAGTACTTACTCTCCAGTTGACGAGAAGGGCTAAGTACGTCTCTGCCCGAAATCATACCGCTCCAACAGAAAATGAAATCAGCTGATGCGCTACCGAGCAGACGCAGGCAAACAAGGAAGGCAAAATGTTACGTAAAAAGTCTAGGTATTGCATCCCGTCCAATCGATTTGGGAGAATAAATGGTCCAATGAGCATACCGTTCACCATGCCAGCCCAAACATTCACCGAAAATGTTTGTTGAAAATGTGCGGATTTTCTGACCAAACATGAGTGTTGCGAAAGTTATTCACCCCATTACGCGTGAACGTAGATTCGTCTGTCACCAATATGCACTTCAAAAAGTCCGGATTATTGTCATGTTGATGCAACAACCACTCACAAAACCGCACTCTTGCTGGAAAATCGTCTGGTTGAAGGGCTTGTACATGTTGGACAACCTCCACGGTTCAACCCTTACAAAATATGTTCTGAAAATGATCAGCAGCCTCTGAAACGCAAAAAAACGAAGTTTGTGAGATTTTTTATCGTGATTTGCCTCTAGTTCCGCCTGCGTGGAGGCCCTACAAATTATACAGGGTCTTCCTTAATGATATGCGAATATTTAAGGGTGTGCATCTACACTCACTCACAAATAGTATATGCTGAAATAATTTGATAGTGACTTTGCTGATTCCCCCATGATCGGATGACATTACGAACAGGAAGTGAATCCGCAGCATCTTTACAAAAAGCACAACAAGGCCCTTCAAGCATCGCATCTCCGTTGTCCGTACTCGACGTCGAGAATAGAGGGAACAAATAAGCATTCACCATCGAACCGTCGTGCCATCCATCCATCGTGCACTATGCGAGCAAGCAGGCCGCTTTTAATGTAACAGCAAACATGTGGTTGTCGACGAGGACGTGAACGTGACGTATGTCCGTCAAGAGACTAGGGGGCGGCAGAACGGAAAAATGCATAAGCGAGCCAGTGGCGTACTTGGAACAATATCGCCAGAATCAAGATCGTTAGTCTTCCAGTTCACTAACAAATTGTAGTCGTGTTGTTCGTAAAAATGTGACCAGAGTAATATAATAACAGTACAGTACCATTTAGAGAGCAGTACACAGTACAATGGTTTAAATTGTGTGTCTTAAAGTGAAACAAAAAACACAAAAAAGAGAAAGGCGCTTTAAGCAGCGAGAAAAGAAACTATGAGTATGATTAATAGATATTAGGAAAAAAGTATATAGTATATATATATATATATCCTTTAATTTCTTTGGGTAGAAGGCAAAGTATTGGAAAAGTACACTCTTATAACTTAAACTCTCAAGCTTTCGAAGATCTATGTCTTCATCGTCTGGAGCTGGAAACAATTATTAAAAATAGCAACACATAGCAATTAGGAGAAAAATATTTACTTACTAAGTCGGCGAGAGTGTTGCTGAAATTGTTTTTAAAACAATAGTGGGAACACATAGTCGACGAATAAAAAACTGGACTGATGAGGTTCGATTAGGACAAACATAAAAAGATCATGCGGAGAAAAGTATATAACAAAAAGTAGGAAAATAATGGGCAAAATCCGCAAAAAGGAGGAAAGTGGATTCGAGCAGAAAATAGGATAGGTAACCCGAGCGATACGTATTTCTGCTGGTTGGCTTCATCAGGTCATTTGGGCTTGGAGTACCATAGCCAGTTGGCTATAACCGGCCGCGTGGTTGTGGTCAGATGTCTCGTTGAAAATTCGAGGTCTTCTGGTCATTCTCTACTACAATATGTAGGTTTTCTCTTGTTGTGGAATTCGTGTGTCGTGTTTTTCCCTCTCCATCTTCGTTTCCTCAGGTTACACCCGCATCCGGATCTGTAGGTTATGTGTATCTACTTTTGTAGGTTCATATGTACGTTCATTTCGGGCCTGATGAATCCAACCAGCAGAAATACGTATCGCTCGGGTTACCTATCCTATTTTCTGCTCTAATCCACTTTCCTCCTTTTTGCGGATTTTGCCCATTATTTTCCTACTTTTTGTTATATGTATATTATATAGTGGCCTAGCTTGCTCCTCACGGGCTCCGTATCAAAATTTGTAGGGGGCTCTGCCGACTGTGGCGAATCGCAAATGGAGGGTAAAATGTGACGTATAATTTTTACAAAAGAAACATAAACACTTGAATTAAATAATACGAATTATCTCGCTTTGACCATGGGCGCCCACAGGAAGCTTTCTCAGTCAGACTGGAAAACGCTGGAATGGTTCTGTACTCGTCGATATGGGAATAAATACCCGACCAGATGGCAGCAGTCACAGTCGAGTCTACAGAACCATTGGACAGCGACCGCGGGATTAAGATGGAATAATAGTCAAGTCAACACAGTAATAAATTTGTTATAAATGAGTTGCATT